CATCGTTTCTGGAACACCTTCACCTCTCCCTCTCACCCATCTTGTCCGCCTAGTACCAGTACGCCCTTACGTGTACATCCTCCACCACCGTTGTATTACTAGCCTGTTCTTATGTGCGTATCTCCGTCCGGTGTTGGGCTGCAGTGGTTGTTCGCTTCCGTGCTGCGGGGAATGCGCCTATTATGAAGCAGGCCAAGTTCAAGATCACCGCCAACGAGTCTTTCCAGACAGTCATCGATTTCCTGAGGCGGCAGTTGAAGTTCAACCAACACGACTCCCTGGTATGTGCCGTTCTCATAACTGCTATAGTTTATTAAACGTCTCTGAGCATGCACTGAACGGTTTGCTCCGGTCGAAAAGAAAAATTAAAAGGCGTTAAGCTATCTGTTGTGCTTGTAATTGAAGATGGCATATAACATCTGAGAGTGTATGGTACTTGTCTCCGCATATCACACTTACACTGATATATCTTCTCTGACCTTCTCCTTTGTCTCACTTTGATCATGCACGCGGATACTGCAGTTTCTGTACATCAACCAGGCGTTTCAGCCGTCCCCGGATGAGCTGGTTATCAACCTGTTCAAAGTGAGTGAGTGTGCTGTATAGTCCAATCAGTATTACGAGGGTGTCTTGCGGGGGGTTCTTTCCCCTCACCAGTACGCATGTTGTGAGGAGTGTTGATACTGATCTATACGGGTTGTGACTAGCATGTGGCATTGATCGCGTTGATTACGGGCTTGCTTGTGACTTACAGACATGTATGAGATAGTTCAGGACCTTGTGTGTGTGTTACTGACGTAGAGAATATCACGAGGTGGCTTGTGACTTACAGACATGTATGAGATAGTTCAAGACCTTGTGTGTGTGTTACTGGTTTGCTTGTGACTTACAGACATGTATGAGATAGTTCAAGACCTTGTGTGTGTGTTACTGATGTAGAGAATATCACGAGGTGGCTTGTGAATTACAGACATGATGAGATAGTCCAAGACCTTGTGTGTGTGTTACTGATGTAGAGAATATCACGAGGTGGCTTGTGAATTACAGACATGTATGAGATAGTTCAAAACCTTGTGTGTGTTACTGATGTAAAGAATATCACGAGGTGGCTTGTGTGCGTCAGATCTGTTAGTAGTCTGGTGGCACGCCTTCGTAGGCGAGCAATCGATTCGGGATCAGACGAGTGGTTCCTTTTGAAGTCTATTGAATGGGGCCAATGCATTATTAAATAGGCCATAGATATCTGTGTTCTAAGGGTGGGTTGGACAAGTTCTGTATATATGTCATAGTATGAAGGAGTGGCTTTACCGACGTTATGTACAAGGTTGCCTATATTATATACAAGTTGTGTATATCTGTATCATCAAGTACACAAGATGTATCGTTATACTCTAGTATTTAGTCGATGTTTGTTCGGAGGACATCTCCAGGAACAAAATGGGTGTTGGGGCATTTGTGTTCTGGTTTACGCACAAATTAAAGTCCGAATTATCTGACACATCAAATTGTATTAATCCGGCGAAGTGTACCGCAAACTGATCGTTCCTATCGAATGTTCATGCCAGTTTCGAGGCAGAATTTAGACAACCATGATAAACAAAAACTCATCTGTACATGGGACTTATCTACTTTCTTAACATCGACGTGTGTTAATCACACGGTGCACCCAATTGCAGCTCTTCAGCAGTGACAGCAAATTGGACATCTACTACTGCACCACCCCCGCCTGGGGATGAGCGAGACCGGACGCTCAAGCCATGGACTTACCATGGCAGGCGTGTAGAGCCCTCTACCTGTACGTGCTACACACATACACAGGGTGGGGTGCGTGCACTTTGCTTGCTGTGTGTGCCTTTGCACATCTGCTGCGTTGCTGGTGAGGCGGGTGTTGGCGCTGAGTGGGGTGTACAGATGGGGCGTGTTGTATGGAGACGTAGGGCGTTGCCACTGTGTGGGTGTACAATCGATGTAGAAGTCTAGTTGTCCGTCCTGGTTTAGTTGGGCCAGCCGCTGCATAGGACGCCCTGGCATGTGCCGATCGACACCTGACGCTCGACACTTGACACTTGACACGTATCGCATGACACGTGACACATGACACGTACCGAATGCCACATGCCACTAGTCACATGTTGCAAGACACTTGACACGTGTCGCCTGACACGTGAAACTTGACGCGAGCGCGAGTGGGGTCGGAGTTTATTTCCTACCGTGATTACTGATTTCACATCCTATGACATACGTTGAACAACAATTGTTAGCTATATATGAAATTAGTAGTATAGAACCTGGTAGCTATATCTGGTACTAGAAGGAACGCCCTTAGTGGGAGGTCTATGCTCCTGCAGCGGAGTTGTGGGGGACAGGGGGTATTCAGACATATGCTAGAGACTGTCATAGGAGTTCTACTGTGGTTGCATGGGTGGCCGAGGCGAGGTATTGGCGTTAGAGATATTGAGTGATAGGTTCGCTGTACAACGAATACATGGGTGGCCAGGGTTTAGGGTGCTGATCGCGCGGTGCGTCTTACACCGGCAATGCCTGGGGACCCTACATTGAGAGAGTGGTCTGACACTATTGAGGGGCGGGAGGATGAGAGTGGGAGAGAAAAGGGAGTCAGGTGATGGGCATGGGTCACTGCTGTGTGTGGGTGTACACCCTTCTTGTATGTACTGTGCACCTCCATGGTAGGAGCTATGCTTGCGCACTCTGTGGCCAGTTAGTTATGGCGCCAATTTATAATACTTCCTCACCCCGCCACCGTACTACTAACAAGCGCCGATGGCATTGAGACATTGAGCTGCACGTCTTGCTTGTGGATGCTACTTATCTGTGGGCGTGTAGGGTACTGACACGTCACTAGGATGTCCCTGTGGACTTAACCTGCACCAAAAGACTTGCATGTATGAGCGAGCACCGTTATCTTCAAACTGAATTGTGACAACGAATAAACACACTCGTTATGCTGTTCCTGATAAACCTTACAACCCTCACTTTAACGTGTCCTTCCGTATGGGCCATGTATAGTCCTTCCCCAAATTTCAGGTGCATGTGCGCTTAGAGCGAATATGTCGTAGCCATTCATGTGCACACAAAACTTAACTATTGAGCGGATGCTACCAGACTGGTGAAGGTTCACCGAGACGCATCATAGCCTTCTATATCATACATACGTATGATTGATCATAATCTTTTATATCACTTATACGTATGATTGACTATAGCCTGCTATCTCATGCATACGTATGATTGATCATAGCCTTTTATATCACTTTAAGGTATGCTTGACCATAGCCTTTTATATCACTTTAAGGTATGATTGACCATAGCCTGTTATCTCATGCATACGTATGATTGATCATAGCTATTTATATCACTTATACATATGATTGACCATAGCATTTTATACCACTTAAAGGTATGATTGATCATAACATCACTTATACGTATGATTGACCATAGCCTGCTATCTCATGCATACGTATGATTGATCATAGCCTTATATATCACTTATACGTATGATTGACCATAGCCTGCTATCTCATGCATACGTATGATTGATCTTAGCCTTTTATATCACTTATACGTATGTTTGACCATACCCTGCTATCTCATGCATACGTCAATCATACGTATTCATCACTTGTACGTACGATTGATCATAACTATTTATATCACTTATACGTATGATTGGTCAAAGCTATTTATACCACTTATACGTATGATTGGCCATAGCCTGTTGTCTCATGCATACGTATGATTGATCATACCCGTCTGCATCATGCATATGAAGACAACGCGAGAGACTGGCTATAGTGTTCAAAAAAGGAGGTTTTACCTAACTCGTCGTCTTGTTAGTATGTGGCGAATGACACTATCTCCTACTGGTCTGTGTACATTTGTGTTCAAATAACTCTGTTCGGGTCTCCAGGGGAGGAGTGGGGTGGTTGAGCCGAGCTCTGATGAACGCGTTTTCGGTTGTTCCGGTGGCGTATCCGTTCGTGCTGTATCAACAGAATGGTTTCTGAATACGTTCTGTGTGCACTGAGGTCACTATTGTTAGTAGATGGGTCTAAACCAAATTTACGGTGAACAAAACTATAGTGACTACGCAAGTGCAAAGTACAGACCAAACATATGTGGAACATTGGATTTGGCGCTTCGAATTAAAACGCAAAAAATATCACACCTCAATAGCACATGGCATACGCCATATGTATCTGATGCTGACAATGAAATAGCCACATATAAACGGGACATTACATGTATTTAAATCAATACAGGGTATTCTATTTTGGTATATTCATTCTAGAAACCAGATTGTACAGACACAAATGAAATACGTATATATACATATATATATATATATATATATATTAATATTAGAGGCACCCCTAGATTCTCTATTATGTGTGAATTATCTTTCGTGTTGAGTTTTGTCTTTTAAGCTCACAATCCAATCCGCCTCGAAAGCCGTCTTAGCATATTTTCCTGATTCAATTCAGTAATAATACACAGAACACCACGAAATGAGTGTACACTGACGTAGACAGATGTACTATTCAATAGATGTTATATTCGATAGTGTAGTATAAGTTGGTATAAGGCCGGATCTTCTGTCCGTGGTGACACTGTAAGGACTTGCCCCGGACGAGATACTATCAGCGCAGATGGCCATGTGCCAAGCTTATCTATACACCAGCTGAATTCACTGTCAGGACACACGCACAAGTAGTATAGGAAGACTGTCATATCAAATAGTGTGGCTATCAACGCCCCAAGCGATGACGCTATATCTGTATGCAAGTTAAGACTTCAGACACAGTACGCGATTCATCTATCACAGCAATGTATATGTATTATCATCTATATCAGCTACGGTAGATACCTTCGTCTATAGCGGGATTATATGTAATTTTTTTCATCTATAGCAGGATTATACGTATATATCTTTACCGATAGCAGCAATAGATGTAAATCTTCAACTATAACTGCTATTCCATCTATAACGGCATTGGATATACATCGCGAACTATGCATTGTGCGCAAGAACAATGGATTGTGAACGTCTATGATCCTGTCCAAACAGTCTCTCCCACTGGTATTCAATTTATTCGCATGTACACTTCATATGTCCTGCACTGCCGTACGCATCGAGCGTGCAGGTGACCGTTGAGTGCACAGGAGGTCTTGCTGCCGCCAAACCAGCCGTGTCCTCAGTAGCCTCACACTATCTGAGTCAAGCCCCATACTTGAAACACTTGAGCCCTAACATCAGATAGTACTCTGCTCTCACCCAGCCATGTGGCTCTACGGCTTGTAATAGTTGCATTTGACAAAGGGCATCCTGGTGACGGTGGCTGGCTGTGCACGCTTGCGCACCTGCACTTGCACTGCAGTGCCGACCTGAGTAAACGCCGTGAACGGGACAAAGCACCAGCATTAGAGCGTAAACAGTAAAACGTTAGAAAGACGAACCAGCATTAGAGCGCAAACAGTAAACCGTTAAAAAGGCGAACTAGCATTAGAGCGTAAACAGTAAAGCGTTAAAAAGGCTTGCCAATGCACACAGCGCCGGCGAAGTGCTTCGAGAGACCAATACACGCATAAGGCGAGTAGCTGTATGTGGTGTGTAGAGATGCATACATGGGGTATGCCGACGGGAATGTGGGGGACAGACAGTCGCGTACGGTCCAACAGCACAGCAGTCATCTGCGACGGCCGACAAAACCATCCGCCTAAAGGGACGCCTACGAATGACTACCACACCGGCTACAACGCATGGCATGCACACCCCACCCAACACCCACCCACCAGAACCCTACCAGCATACAAACCCTGCACCTTCACCCCTTACAACCCTACACCCTTCAACCCCCACGCCAAACCACACCACACCGCACCTCACTCGAATAGTCACACCCAGCCACAACTCTACCAGCATACAGACCCTTCACTCTTCACCCCCCACAACCCTACCAGCATACAAACCCTACACCCTTCACCCCCTACAACCCTACCAGTATACAAGCCCTTCACCCTTCACCCCCCACAACCCTACCAGCATACAAACCCTATACCCTTCACCCCCCATAACCCGACCAGCATACAAATCCTTCACCCTTCACCCCCCACAACCCTACCAGCATACAAACCCTACACCCCACACCACACCTCACTCGAACAGTCACACCCAGCCACAACCCAGCCAGCATACAAACCCTTCACCCCCCACGCCAAACCACACCACACCTCACTCGAACAGTCACAACCCTAAACCCAGCATAGGTATCTCTCTACCTACACAGCTGTGAAGCGTGCAGTGCACTCGTACCTTGTTGTGCGGTTTGTTGATGTATGCCATGGCAATGTTCTTGCCGAATGTGGGGGACGGCACTCCACTGGTGATCTCACCGATCTCGTTGCCTTCCATGTCAAGTACCTTCGAGTGCGCACGTGCCGGAGCTCCGTCTACTACCAGACCCACCCGCCGCCGCACTCCACTCTATGGATATAAAGGTGCACGATTATGTATACTTTAAGTGCCATATATATATATATATATATATATATATGAACACAAACACACACACATAGATATATATATATATATATACATATATATATAGACATATACACACACAGACACATGCATATATGCATATATACTTACACACACACACACACACACACGCACATACATATGCATACAACGTGACTACATAAGTGTCGTTAAAAGCAATACTTCAAAACGCGATTAGAAAGCACACAGAGTAGCGAGCAATCACAGCTGTCGACTAAGTATACAGTCACATACAACCAGATCCTCCTGTACTGCCACACAAACACAAACACAAACACAAACACAAACACGCACACTCGCACACTTCTCGAACAGACTCACACACCTTCTTCTTTAGCTGGTCGACGATGATATCGCCGCCCACAAACCCGCTTTCTGTGCGTCTGCGCTTGGCCACAGTCCAACCCAGGTTGGCTTCCATGGGAGAGGTGGTGGCGTCTATGTCACTGCCGTACAGACACAGCCCAGCCTCTAAGCGCAGCGAATCACGCGCTGCCAGACCGGCGTTGGCCGCCTCATCTTCGCTTAGAAGCGCCCGTGTGATACAAACGGCCTGTGCGGGTGACAGAATAAGCGATGGGTGACGGAATAAGCGGTGGCCGATGAACGTGAGCGGTAGCCAGTGGCTGCAAACAGACGTGTGCAGACACTCTAGGGCGCATGCTTGTATGACCACAGAAACAGCGGTGCCATGGAGTATATCGGACACGGCCCACTTGCCGTATGCACAGCAAGCCTTGTGATGAGATGCACCTGCTGAGGTACGACTGGCATACAACCCGCACGTGGGTAATGCACAGACTCACTCATCCCACTACTTCGCACGAGGTAGATAGAACATGCACAACTAGTAATGGGACTCACAACTCACAGACAAACCCTCCGTTTGGTCCTCCATTTAGTACTCTGGACTGCACTCCCGCGCACAGTTAACTACCCGCTCCCCTTATAAGTTATCTACCCGCTCACCATATATGTTAACTACCCGCTCACCTTATAACTGGGCATGGAGATCTCAAACCCATCCTCTCCAGTGTAACCACAGCGCGTAATGCGACAGCCAGGCACCCCGTGCACAGAGACGTCGTTAACACTGGCCATGAATGGCAGGTCTTTGAGCATCACTTCGTCGTCGTCCACGTGTTTGGCGAGCACATCCATTGCTTTCGGGCCCTATGTAGTGCGGGGCATGTGTTGTATATGTATGATTGTATATGTATGATTGGTTGCATATGAATACTGTGGGCATAGGATAGGGGGTGTAGAGAGCACGGTGCAGGGCTAAACAGTCGCCCGTTAGGTGTGTCTACAGGTTGATCTGATGGGGAATCACGCAATAGGTGTATAGCTATAGAACTACCTACCAACCACAGCCTAGTGTAAGGCGTTTCAAATTGGCACATATATATAGCGTTATGAATATGATTGTATGCTGTTTGGTAGGACACTCGAAGGCCATTCGATGCCTATACATATACATACACATAGCCGCCACGCATGCACTACTAAACACACAGTCACATACACCCATCCATCCCAACACACAACATACCTGCAACGCAATTAAACTGTACGTATCCATCACTTCCATCTCCACCTCACCGTCTGCGAACGCGCTCAGCTCGCTTTTAATGTGCACAAGATCCTTGTCCGCACATCCGGCATTGGCCACCATATACACGTGGTCGTCGGCATTCACCACTACGCAGTCATCAATGATACCTCCCTACAATCATCAGTGTGGGAAATCATATGCTAATGTATAAAAAGGGGGTATGGTGTGTGTTCATATGCACACAAAGATATATATGTCCGTGTGCACACAATGTAATGCGTTCGTATGCACATATGTTTGTACACACGTGTGCGGCTATACCCCAACACTGGAAGCAAAGATGTCTAACGAATAGGTTGCGGCAATGTTACCATTTGCGTTCGTTTCGTGAGACTAACTATATCTGCCCACAAGGGCAGCATAACACAATAGTACACATCCACGCAGACAATCTATTGTGGTTGAATCACACGTATGTTCAAATGAAGGGCACGTAGCTCAGTAGACGTATATGCACAGAATATACACGCACACACGAGAAGAAACTGAGACCTGACAGGAAAACATGGCGCAACGATGTTATATGCAAACCCACATTTCATCTCAGTGCACACTTGCACCCAGGAAATCAGTGCCTCGCGGCATGCTTAGAGGACTTGTACAAGTACACACGAGCATCTAGATATACACATATACAAACCAAAATGCAAAACATCTATGTACCGAACAGATATCCCCATGCACGGAAATGGAAGAGAACTCGAGGACGAGATAGCATGTGCAGATTCAAGGCGTTCCTCAACCGAAACACGTGCTAAGCACCTACCTCACTATTCGTCATTAGCGAAAGTGTACCACCACCAGAGGGAAGCCCTGCGATGGGAAGGCAGAGAAGTGTTAGTATACAATAGCAGTCGTGATGTTAGGTTCAATCACAGCTATGTGAGTATGGGGATCACTTGCTTGCAGAGAATATGGAGATGCGCTCTTGCAAATTGTTGTATATTTTAGCTATAAGCGCGTATGTATTGTATATACATTAATACAGATACACACACATACACACACATACACTCACTCACTCATATATATATATATATATATATATGTATATATCTGTACACAGACACAGACACAGACACACACTATATATATATATATATGTATATATACTAG